CTTTTCTTTGACTGTAATAGGTGCAACTACTTTCACTTCAACAGGAGGATTATATTTAAACCACTTATCTTTAGGGAGATCAACGTGAGTAGCAAAAGTTTCACAAAAAGTAGCTACTATCTTAGAGTCAAGTCCATACTTAGAGCTAAATCCACGGAAAGCATCGGTATCCATAAAAGATTTAACACAATCGAACTTAGGTGTCATACCTGACTACTTACCATCGTCGAAACCCCAATCTTCAGAGTTGCGTTTAATTCTTTCCAGTAAGTCCCATTTGAAATCAATCGTCTTTGGCATATAGGAACCATCACAGGAAGTATCGAGCAGGTTGCGATTATCATGAGAAAGCCGAGCATAAAAATTCTGAATAATCATTTCCCGAGAGAGCTCATGATTGGGGCATGAATATAACATGGATTTAAGCCTCCCCCAAGCTTGAGTGATGCTTTCTCCTTCGCGAGGCCAGAAATTATATATGTAATTACGATCACGATGAACAAGATGCATAGGGTAGAACTTCTGGTGAAATTCCAAGTCACTTATAATTCCAAAATCTCGTATCACCACATAGCCTATACCATGTCATTGCATCTCCCTTCAAAGATAAAGGAAGACCTTCCTTTTGACAACACCATCAGGGATACCTGCAAGCTTAAATAATCCACAAACTTCATCCACAAAGATAAGGTGTAAGTCGGGATGCAAAGTTCCGTCTCCTGCAAAAGGATTAGCTAGCAGTTTTTCTATCATACCCGAAGGAATATCAAAGTGAATATTTTCATAAGGTTTAGTAGGTTGAGGAGCATCTCTTTGCTCTTCTGGTTGGGGTGAAGATACCCCAAACAAGCCCTTTAAAGGATTAGTTTCCATAGTGACAAGTAACAGAAAATTTCAGCACACTATATAAATGTTTCCTTACCAAGTTCCACTCACCAAAAGCGCTACACTCCCCAGCAACGGCGCCAGAAAAGAGTCTTGATGACCCACAAGTGTAGGGGATCTATCGTAGTCCTTTCGATAAGTAAGAGTGTCGAACCCAACGAGGAGCAGAAGGAAATGATAAGTGGTTTTCAGTAAGGTTTTCTCTGCAAGCACTGAAATAGTAGGTGATAGATAGTTTTGTGATAGGACAAATAGTAACGAGCAAAAAGTAAATAAAGTAAATAAAGTGCAGCAAGGTGGCCCAATCCTTTATGTAGCAAAGGATAAGCCTGGACAAATTCTAATAATGAGGAAACGGCTCCCGAGGACACATTGGGAATTATCGTCAAGCTAGTTTTCATCACGTTCATATGATTAGCGTTCGGTACTTTGATAATTTGATATGTGGGTGGACCGGCACTTGGGTATTGCCCTAACTTGGACAAGCATCCCATTTATGATTAACCCCTATTGCAAGCATCCGCAACTACAAAAAGGAGTATTAAGGTAAACCTAACCACATCATTAGACATATGGGTCCATATCAACCCCTAACGAAGCAACGCATAAACTAGGGTTTAAACTTCTGTCACTCTAGCAACCCATCATCTACTTATTACTTTCCTATGCCTTCCTCTAGGCCCAAATAATGATGAAGTGTCATATAGTCGACGTTCACATGACACCACTAGAGAAAAGACAACATACATCTCATCAAAATATCGAACAAATACCAAATTCACATGACTACTAATAGCAAGACTTCACCCATGTCCTCAGGAACAAATGTAACTACTCATAAAGCATATTCGTGTTCATAATCAGAGGAGTAATAATATGCATAAAGGATCTGAACATATGATCTTCCACCAAGTAAACCAATTAGCATCAACTACAAGGAGTAATCAACACTACTAGCAACCCACATGTACCAATTTATGGTTTTGATACAAGATTGGATACAAGAGATGAACTAGGGTTTTGAGAGGAGATGGTGCTGGTGAAGATGTTGATGGAGATTGACCCCCTCCCGATGAGAGGATCGTTGGTGATGACGTTGGTGATGATTTCCCCCTCCCGGAGGGAAGTGTCCCCGGCAGAACAGCTCCACCAGAGCCCTAGATTGATTCTGCCAAGGTTCCGCCTCGTGGCAGCGGAGTTTCGTCCCGTAAGCTTACCCACGATTTTTTCCAGGGTAAAAGTGATGATATAACAGAAGATGGACGCCTGAGGCCCACCAGGGGGCCCAGGAGATAGGGGCGCGCCCCCTATCTCCTAGACAGGGTGTGGGCCCCTGGCCTATTTCTTTCGCTCATAAATTCTTAATAAATCCAAAAGGTTGTTTCATGGAGTTTCAGGACTTTTGGAGTTGTGCAGAATAGGTTTCCAATGTTTGCTCCTTTTCCAGCCAGAATTCCAGCTGTCGGCATTCCCCCTCTTTATGGTAAATCTTGTAAAATAAGAGAGAATAGCCATAAATATTGAGATATAAATTGTAATGACAGCCCATAATGCAATAAATATTGATATAAAAGTATGATGCAAAATGGACGTATCATGTACTTCAACCCTAGGTTGAATATCAACATTTTGTTGACTTGCATTTACTTTTTGATGATTCTCATTCCCCTTGGACGCTTCTGCAAAGCCTTGTCCTTTGTGTCCAAATTCTTCCCCCTCTTAGGTGGCTGAGTAGATCTATGGGTCACATCCACTCTTTCTGGCACATTCATAGCGGGAACATTTGATTTTGTGACACCTTTATAATAAGTAAATGCATCTGGCAGATTATTTGCAATTTTTTTGCAAATTTATAATCTTCTAAACCTCGAGTTCAGACTCATTCGTACGTGGATCTAAGGACTGGATGCCTTTCACATCCCAATCTATTTCTCAGAATTCTTTGTGGTTATTCTCTCCCCCTATTGTCAGGAAATTGTCCTCGTCAAAAATGCAATCAACGTACCGGGATGTAAACAAATCTCCTGTCAGGGGTTCCAGGTACTTAATGATTGACGGAGAATTGTACCCCACATAGATCCCCATTCATCTATGAGGGCCCATTGATGTACGTTGCGGTGGTGAGATCGGTACATATACCGCGCACCCGAATTGCCGCAGATGGGAAATACTTGGCTGGTTTCCACGTACTAACTGCAATGGGGAGACCGTATGATATGCAGTTGGTCGAATTCTTATCAATTCTGCAACATGTAAAACTGCATGACCCCAACATGAAGCTGGAAGATTACTATTCTGCAGGAGCGGTCTTGCTATCAACTTGATCCTCTTGATAAGTGATTCCGCAAGACCATTTTGGGTATGTACATAAGGTACTGAGTGCTCCACAGAAATGCCCAAAGCTATGCAGTAATCATTAAATGCTTGTGAACTAAATTCCGCAGCATTATCCATTCTGATGGTTTTTATCATATGCTCAGGATGATTTGCTCTCAATTTAATGATCTGAGCAATTAGCTTTGCAAAAGCATGGTTCCTTGTTGACAGTAGACACACATTTGACCATCTTGTTGATTCATCAATTAGGACCATGAAATATCTGAATAGTCCAGATAACGGTTGTATTGGACCACAAATATCTCCTTGAATGCGTTTAAGGAAATTAAGCGGCTCATCTTTTAATTTCACATAAAATGGCCTTGTGATCAATTTCCTAGTTGCACATGCTCTGCATACAAAATCCGATGATTTTGGAAACTTTCTATCCGTTATGTTGTGTCCAACAGAATCATCAATAATTTTTTTTATCATCCCAATACCAGGATGGCCCAGACGATCATGCCAAATATTGAACTTATCAAGATTCTGAAAAACTATCTTGTACGCCATATGCGTATTTGGTTTAATGTATGTATAATACAACCCAGAAGATAGAAAAGGCAAATTCTCAAGGACTTTCTTTCAAAATCCCTTTTGCTGAGTTATGAGTAGGCATTCAGTCTGACTCTCTTCATTAGTTTCCACATGGAAACCATTTTTTCGGATATTCTTAAAACTCAGCAAGGTATGAGTAGAATTTGGATGCAGTAGAGCATCCCGAATTACCAATTTAGTACCCATAGGGAGTGTAATTGTAGCTTGACCAGAACCAACAATTATCGTGTCTCGACCAGCAATTGTCATGACACTTCCATTACTCTTCTCGAGTGTCTGGAAATACTTTATCTCCCTAAGTATCGTGTTAGTAGAGGCACTATCCACTAAACACATTTTCTCCTCTATTGTATTATTCCTTGAAGTTTGTTCCAAGTCTTTCTCCGGCGAGTTCTTGTGCTTGTGTGGCGTGTCTCTCTCACTGGATGTGTGTGCGTGATAACGTGTGAAGAAACAGTGCAATGAACATTAAACACTAATGTCGATCGATTGCGATGATGTACAAATTTATACCCCTGAAAGAGGCGTGTTGCACAGACGCGATGTTCACAACACAGGAGATGGGATTGAGGGGCGTGTCCGTTACAATAGGACGCGACCCATCTGGAAAGAAAACCGCACCATTAATTAAACTAATTAACTAATCCTAACTGATGTGCCGCGGCTGCTACGCGGAAACAGTGGGCTGCAGCTGCTCTACTGAAACAGTGTGCAGGCAGCGGTTTATCCTTGGCATGCTACGTGTATAGCAGCTTTTTTTTTGCACCGACGTGTATACCAGCTTCGGTCAGCCACTTGGACAAATAGACACGCACCGATTTGGCAGTACGGTATATAATATGTATTCCCATTTGTACTTGGGCAACAAATACACGGAGCAACATGGACAGGGCAATAAATGACGAAGCGGCCCATTGTATTGTACCATAGCAAAACCTCGACGGTGTCAGAGGCGGACGTATCGGCTCGATCCCCTCCGAGGTGGCAACACACGGCCGACGAACGAGAGTGACACCGCGACGGGCATCTCCCTCGCCGACTGCGCGCGGTCCCCACATCCCCGCTCCCTCTCTACAAAAGAAGCAGTAGCACTCCCGTGCGCGTCACTTCCACGACCGATCGATCCCACCTCGCGCATCCGCATCCGCATCCACCCTTCAGCGCAGATCGGATCCCCACCCATGGCCGGGCGCTTCGACCTCCAGGGCAGGCACGGCAAGTCCCGCGTCCGGGTCTCCCGCGTCTGGCGCCGCCCCGCCGAGGCCGGCGGCCACCTCTTCGTCGAGTGGAGCGTCGCCGTCAGCGTCGTCTCCGACTGCCTCCCCTCCTACACCTCCGACGACAACTCCGCCATCGTCGCCACCGACTCCATCAAGAACACCGTGCGCCCACCTTCCCTTCCCTTCTCTCTGCCCGGCGATGCTCCCCGGTCAGTCTCGGTCCTGGTCCCTTGATCCGCTGTGCCTTTCGCTTGCTTGATCAGGTGTATGTGAAGGCCAAGGAGTGCACGGAGGTGGTGTCCATGGAGGAATTCGCGGTCATCCTCGGGAGGCATTTCACCTCACTGTACTCGCAGGTAGGGAATGGTGGGGATGGGAATTTTTCCCAGCCATTTATGGTCTGTGTTCTGTTGTATAAAAGCAGTGGAGCCCGGCCATTTATGAAAGTGTTCTTGTTCGAGCAGGTCTCAGAGGCTACAGTGACAATCGTGGAGCGCCCGTGGGAGCGTGTGGCTGTGGACGGGAAGCCCCATTCGCATGGTGAGAAGAATTCTATCGCTTACTCTTGCTGTTTACTTGTGCCGCGGTAAGCAAAATGTGCTTTCATGATGCCATAATAAGTTTCATTCAAATGGAAGCCAAGTCAGGAGGGCCACACCCCCCAGCGTTACTTAACAATACCAGATTATATTACAGACATTCCAATTAGCGGCTGAGTATGTAAAAGCAGAGATCAGACGCCAGGGATTACACATCCCTGAATTGCCAAACTTGCCTACAATCTATATGAAAGAAGTAGCATAAAACAATGTGACAAATGCTCCATCCCCCACTCTTGTTTCAGTGGTCACCTGCCATAGAAGTTCTGAACCATTTTGAACGAAATGCTCATCCGCCTCTTCTTGTAGGTCAGCACGGTATTGGATCCATGCGCAAATAGGATGAATTGCATCTATTCTAGTAGGACATTAGGATTTATGATAAAATTATGTTTCGTATGTTTCTTCCACATTTCTGAACAATCTGTCGTTCATTATGAACAGTTTTTTAGCTACAGTCTATGCATTGAAAAGCATTGTAAAGATCAACAAGCAGTAGCAGTTGAAGTAAAGCTAGAGAAAAGGAATGTTAGACACTGAAAGCCCTTGGCAATTTATATTTATCAACAACTCAGCCAACTAGGTAGACTATGTTGGCAGGTGCCAGCAAACATCATGTCGCTTTTATCTAGCATGAAGATGCGCAATCATCATTTAACTGTTTTTTGCCAAACATATACTTGATACTGAATATTTAAGTAGTGACATGCACAGTTTTGCATGTTGTTTGGAAATCCCTCTTCCAACTAGTGAAATGTATTTCATTATTATTAGAGAACAGAACCAAATGGGACTTGGCCAATAAGTTAAATACCAGAGCCACTCAATCTTTAAGCATGCAGTTACTATTGGTCAAAAATAGTTTTCCTATCGTGCTCTCAAATAATTTCACATCATTATCATTGTGATTGCAAGTTGGATAGTGCGGAGCATAAACAGTACCCTTACCTGCATGTCTTCCATTTTCTCCTTAAAATTTAGATTCCTGGTAGATCCACTGATAGTCAAAAAGGAGAATTATGATAATCGAGCAGACTGTTTCTTATCAACTACTTGCTGATTTATTTTTTGTTTTGACAAATAACTTTCTCACATTTATTGTGATACATATTTGCATTTATATAGCTTCTATTGCAAATTGCGACGGTAAAGGAAAACAGTCCCTCCCTGACGAATTATTTTAGAGTTATCTGATAACTTAGGCAATGGACTTCTTTGCAGGGTTCAAACTTGGTTCTGAAAAGCACACCACTGAGGTCAACGTGAAGAAGTCTGGAAGCCTGCTTATAAATTCTGGGATACAAGGATACTCCCTGCTAAAGACAACTCAGGTGTTTATTTCACTTATTTGTCTTGGTCCTCATGCCACCATCCCAAAGAAATGCACTTCTGCATATTTCTCCAACTCTGGTTGAGTTTGCTAGTCGCAGTACATAGTTGAATAAGTTATGAGTTCTGATATGATAGAGATTTAAAGGAGATTATTAAGTAGGAAGATATATGTAGCCTTACCAGAAGTTTTTCCAATAGTTGATGAGATATGAGGTAGTCCTTGTAGAAGACCGTTGAAATAGGAATGGACATGCTAGAGCTATTTCAATATGTCATGTATTCATGCTTTTGGGGATCGAATGCAACATGTCAGCAGGCAGGAATTTTGTTAGATGTAGTGTTACCTAAGCAAAATAATTTAACTAGTTTTAGCTGAAGCGGAACTGTTTTACTTTAGTATTACATAAATAGGCTGCAGGTGCAAGTAATAAATACTAAATTCTCATCACTATCTATCTCAGTCTGGATTTGAAGGATTTGTGAGGGACCGCTACACTCTTCTTCCTGAAACAAGAGAAAGAATTGTAGCAACAGAAGTAACTGCTTGGTGGAGGTTTGGGCACTCTTTCCCATCTGCCTGAAATGTTCTCTTATCCACAATTCTGATATCAGTGAACCCTTTTATGATTGTCAATAGTAGTTCTTAGATTCAAGGCAATAAATCAAGTGTACTAAGCATTACCATAATAACTTCTCTATTGCTGTTGGTCTTGGATGAGCATAATTCTTTACAAATACTGTTGCCAGATCTTTTGGGCTTTCAAGCTAATATGAGCTACCATGCACACACACACACACACACAAAGCTAATATGAGCTCATGTTCCAAGTCATGATTCATGATTTCGTAGTCTTTTAAATGACAAACTTGCCATAATCCATCCAATTGATTACCATCATGCTTTCTCTTTTGTTTCAGGTATCCGTTCGAGCATATTTCCCAGCTTCCGTCAAAGCCATTTTGCTTCACACAAAGATACCAGGATGTAAAGAAAGTTCTCGCAGACACATTCTTTGGTCCACCTGATGTTGGTGTATATAGCCCATCAGTGCAGAATACATTATACCTCATGGCTAGGGAAGTTCTTACCAGGTTTGCAGCTTTTTGAGATTTGGCCATTATTTTCTTACCGGCTGTAGCTTTTTGTCAGCCGTATTTAGCCCCTACTTTTATGTATGCCTGAACATATGATGTCAACTCCCAGGTTCCCAGACATAGCATCTGTTCAGCTTAGGATGCCAAACCTCCACTTTATTCCCGTGAACCTAGGGGGCAAAGAAAATCCAGGATTGGTGAAGGTGAGAACAATGGGTACAACATTTGTTTGTCCTGTTTTCAGAATATTAATACTTGGTAGTCCAAAAACGTTCTTGAGGTATATATATTTAACCGAGTCATTTCTATGTACAGTTTGCTGATGATGTGTACATGCCGACTGACGAACCACATGGAACCATCGAAGCAACGTTGAGCCGCGCCAACTCAAAGCTGTAATTTCACTCCATGCTTGTGGCCAGGCTCATGATTTGGTTTGGTTTCTTGAAGATCACAGTCGCAAATAAACAAAGTGTTAGGGGGGAAGCTAGCACAACCCCTTGCAAAAGGGAAAAAGGACGTAAACTTTGCATATGTATTCAGCTAATTGACTTGTACATGGCTAGCTAGAGTTCCCCCATCGTAAATTTTACTGTTGTACAGAACCTTCAGTGTTCGTTGTCTCCACAATGCTATAATATAGCCTGTTTTTTCTTTTCTTTTTGAGAAATAGAACTTCTCGACAGATTGTGTCTGCATTAGACAGTAAAGGCCGTGTTACACAAAACTATCGCATGGGCCATGAATATGGGCCACAGTAGACAAAATGAGGAATGGAAAAAAATCGATTTTCAAAGCTTGACACCGAACCCAGCTTCTCAGATGTAATGATTGAGACTACTTCCTCCGTTCTGAATTACTTGTTGCAGAAATTGATTTATCTAGACATATTTTCAGTTCTAGATACATTCATTTTTGCGACAAGTAATTTGTGATGGAGGGAGTATTTTTTCTAGGATTTTTTTAAGTTCTCCAAGCACAAATCACATTGATATCTACTGCTACCAGAGATACAAACTTGCATGAAATTCTTTCTCGCAAATAAAAAAACTTGCACGAGATTCAAATACAAGAGTATTTGAAAATTGTGGAAAATTTTGAACATCCACGACATATGTGTCTGTAATCCTACAAATTTCAATAAAAACAGAAATTCAACATGTCACATCAAAAGATAAAAGCCGTGGCATCCGACCATGTTTGTCACACAATCAAGGTCAATTAGCTCAATAGATTCATCATGAACTATATTTTATAATATTGATAAAGATGTTTGACTTAGAACAAATTTAGAACCACAAGGATTTTGGGATGAATGAGATATTTTTATTTTTTTAGTATGAAGGAGGTATTAATTTGTCGCACAACGATACAATATTACTTCTAGGCTGATCATGTTTTTGTATCAGACACTAAAGGCCACATACAGGAAAACTACCGTATGGGCCATGAATGTGGGCTAAACTGCATGGTGGCTCGCTTTGTCAAAAGAAAAGGAAAATATTTTTTTCTCAAAATAAAACGAAAATTTCCCCTAAAAAAGGATTTTCAAAGCTTGACCAGTAGCTTTGAGTCTACGCAGCAAGTTAAGAAAGCACAATTGCTGAAGGACACTAGCCTAACTCTTCCCTCCTCCACAAGAAAAGCTCTTCTCCTTTCGTCGGCGTCGTCGCCGGTCCGCCCCATCAACGATGGCCTCAATGCCATGGGCATGTGGAGGATCTCGACCCCCCGCCGGCGGGAGGGACCCCGTTCTTATTCTTGTTAGGTTATGCGTATTGGTTGAGGCTGTGTGACGGCGGCGATGTCCCTCAGTAGGAATAAACCCACATTCTATCCCCGTTTCGATGGTGCGTCTAACATTGTCGGAGGGCGTGTGGAGGTTTGTCTCTATCGGATCTCGCGGGATTCGGTCGGTGTTGGTCTTTGATGGATTTGTTTGGATTCGGTCTTTGATCGTCTTCGTTTGGGTGTTTACATATTTGATCCTTCTAACTATGACTTTTTTCGTCGGTGATCGTTGCTACTCTGGTGCGTTGGTCATATGTGGCCTAACATGATGACATGATGACTTTCGACTATCTACTACAACAAGATTTGTCTGGCTCTGCCAGTACTTGTAGTCGTCGCTAGGTGGTCCACGGATATGGTTATAATTTTTTACCTCTGTTGTTTTTCGTACTACCATGATTGAAGATGAATAGATAGAAGTTTCTTGGAGAAAAAAAAAGCACAATTGCTTCGTCTTTGCGGACGTCAACAGGGCAACACAACTGGCAAATCTAGCCTTTTTTTTCTTCTCTAAAAACATCTGAGGTGCTCGGGCGCGGAGCTCAAGTACAGTGACCGATGTGTACATGCATCATGATTGATTCCTCGGGAATGGACAAGAGCGTTCTCCTGCTGTGCACTCGAGAAGTCGAGGAGAGTCGATCGATAATACTACTCAAGATAGGGAGTAGTACAAAGAGGAAACAGAGCATGGCCAGTTTCACCAAGGCGGCTGGCTTCCCCCCACATGGCCACATGCCAAAGCGTCGTCGATGATACCGATGCGTGCGGAAAATTTGTCCTCCGGCCACCTAACAGACCTCCACCTGCCGATCGACCGATGGAGAGCAATAACTCGGAGGGCCGCAGGATAAGCGAAGGTCGCTGCGCACGGGGGGAGGGGAGGGGGAGCCCTCGATCGCTGCCGCCGATCGACGAGCCGTGGACCACCGCGCGTTTCCACGCCAACGATCGCCGGTGGCCCACCCAGCCCAATCATGGGCGCCGCGCCGTGCGGTGCGTGCGGCCGGTCGCTGGCTGGTCATCGACGTTTACAGCAAGAGGACGCGTCACCGCCGCCCCATCCATCTCTCTCCCTTGATCAAATCCCGAAGCCGCATCTTCTTGGATTTGCCGTGAAGACGACGAGATGCTACGTCACCGCGTGAACTGGGCACGCGTCCCCGTCCGTCCTGGCGATGCCTGTGGACTGGGCGCGCGCACATGGCGCCCCACACATGGACGTGGACATGGCATGGCAGCCTGGCGCCTTTGATGGATCCCCGCTGGCTCCGAGCTGGCTGGATACGGTACGGCGGACGGAGGTATTGCGTGTATCCTTCTTGCGCTGGGGGCTGGGTGGGGCACATGGCGGACGGAGATGCTCTTCTGACCGGCGATGTAGTACGCTTGACCAGCAGCCATTGGTCTTGGTCCCCAACCCCAACCCAGCGGTAGCACTGCCTGCTCTCCCCGCATCATCATGGACTACCATCGGAACCCACAATTTTTTTCTATTTCTGTTGCAAGTTGTAACTACTGTAGATTGCACAGTACTGCAGAGAAAGTGGTTTAGAACTTTGGATTAGCGCAGAGGCTGCTATCGATCCGAGTGGGCTTGCTACAGGATAGACCTGTACTACCAGCGATAATTAGGAGACATCAATAGGCCAGGAAACTTATTTCAGACGTGCCAACTGTTAGGTAGACCGTAGCACCTTACCTAATAGCATCTCCAATAGACGCGCAACGCGCAGTGCGCTAAAAAACAGTATACAACGCCGGAATCGTCAGCTTTTGCGCGTCGCGGTGCACTGGCTCCAGCGGCCGCTGCAAAATATAGCGTGCCCGAGCCGCTCCAACAGACACGGTAAACTGCAGCGCGCGCGAGCAGCCGGCCCTTGTCATATATTGCATTTTGGAGACAATATGATGATATTTCAAATATCAAAACAAGACATGGCATAGTTTAAAATCACCCAAACAAGTTCATGACATAAAAGTTCAAATTCATGCCCCATAACATCATCCAACCAAGTTCAAAATCCGAACCAAGTTTATGACATAAAAGTTCACACAAACGAATGGCACCTCAACAATCATGCCTCGTCCTCGTCTTCATCCTTCTCTTCCTCCGATTCATCATCCTCATCCGAAGATGATTCTTCCTCCTCCTCTTCATTGTCGCGCGCCGCATCATCATGTGGAGCTCGAAAGGTGTTGGTAAGATCTTCAACAGCATTATGCGAAGGTGTGTGACGGGCACACCGGAAGACATTCCACCCATGCCGCCCGGAGGTGCTCCCATGCCTCCCATGAGAGACGCAAAACTCATGCCTCCTATGGTAGCTCCGAAGCCACCCATGTCTCCCATGGCCCCCATGGTAGCTCCGAAGCCACCCATGCTGCCCATGGTAGCTCTGAAGCCACTGATGCCTCCCATGCCGCCCATGCCACCGCCACCCATGCCAACCATGGCTCTCTTTTGGACCAAGACTTCTTCACAGGCAAGATTGACGTACCCCTTTTGCTTCTTATCGAGGGTAGATGTGTCCATGAAGAACAAGTACTTCTCCCATTCCAACAACCTAGTTCGCTCCTCCATGGCCAATTTCTTCTCCTTCAATGCCACCTTCCTCTCCTCGGCCGCCACCCTCCTCTCCCCGGCCGCTGCATCTTGGTTCATTGGCATCTTCCTCACCTCGTTCGCTTCCTTTCTTGCCTTCATAATAGCTTCCATAACATTTTTAGCTCGTCATCTTCTTTCCTCTTCTTCTTTTCTTTTCCGTCTTTCTTGCATTCATCCGGTCTTTTTGGCTTGGAGTACGAAATCGAGTTTGGTGTAGGGCTTCTCTTGTCATCATCACTTGATGCCTCCTCCTCATCATCATCCAAATCAATAGTTCGCTTGCGTTTGTCGCTCTCCTCATCATCGACACCATCACGGGGCTTCCATTTCTCACCATCCTTCAATTTTTCATAGCAATGAGGCAAGGTAAATGGTCTCCCTTTCTTGATCTTGCCTTTCTTGGTCTTCTTCTGCTCTCATTGGAATAAGTTTTGTGCAATAGTGAGCTACAAACAAAAGAACAAGTTAGCACTTGAAACACCAAGAAGAAGCATGATGAACATGGAAGAATCATGAAAGAAATGACACTTACCCTATCTCTATCATTGGTGCCACTTGGGTTCAACGAGTCAACCGCCTTAAGTGCGGCCGCCCACCTTTGACAATCTCGGTTGATTGTCGACAACCGGGAGCAAAGAGATCTTCCGGAGCGGTCAATTCCACTTTTGTTGTGTAGATCAAAGCGCTCCTTCATCCGGAGTCAGTATGCATCTCTACTTTGATCCCCTCCAACGGAGGGATCCCTCGACACTTGCAACCAAATATTGCATAGCAAGATGTCTTCGTCCATGGTGTAGTTGCCCCCTCTTTCTTTTGGTGCAACGACGATGCCCTCACCATCTTCATCCACCCCAAACTCATGATCATCGAAATGCATCTCATTGGTTTGAGACCAATGAGAATTGTTGGAGCCAACACCCATAGTTGACATATATGCCTCCTCATTGAAATTACAAAGTATATACAACAAAGCAAATAAGCTATCGATATGTATGCATTC